AAGATAGGAATAAAATCTTATGTGATAATCTGCATTAAGAACGTAAACTTATCATAGAATATAAGCAATTATCATAAAAGATATCCTAAATCATCAGAATTTCAATTTTGACAAGCTATTTTTCAACATTGACTGTTGCGTTGCATCCGAAATTTATTAGGACCCGGAAGCGGGTGGAGCCAGAAGGTAGGGATAATAATATGTCGAGACAACCTAGATCTCGTCTCATTTGTTCTCTCTGTGGACTCTAAATTACTAAGCATGTCGTGACTAAAATATTTAGTTAATTCTAAGTTCTATATTCGATTTACTTTGTTTGAGGGAAGAAGAAGAAGAAATATCAGCACATATATTAACTCTACTAGAACTAACCATTGTTAATAATTCCATCTCAAAGTTTTTGGCTACGAGTTCTTGTGATGCTACACTATCACTACGCATTGGTTTGGGGGCCCTAAAAAATTTCTACCGGATCTTTGGCCGTACACATCATATATTTCACATAAAACTTCTCTCTATATTACTGAAAAGGAGATGTGCTACAGGTATACAAGGGTGTACATAAAGGTGTTCAGTATATAAGGGTGTCCATAATGGACACCCGGCTCCCTTACTTTCCATAAATTCGATGTTAAAGATATAAGAGATGTGCTACAGGTACACAAGGGTGTACATAAGGGTGTCCATAATTGACACCCGGCTCCCTCCCATTGGAGGGAGTACCGGACCCACCAACACTCCATCCAATGGGAGGGCGCCGGGTGTCCATTATGGACACCCTTATGTACATCTTTGTGTACTTCTAACATTTTTCTATTGAAAATGTATTTGAAATTCGGGTTATAACAACTTTTGTACCATCCAAATGAAACATAATGTTCCTTACATAAAGTAATGGGAACAACATAGACAAATCCTCCCAATATTTTCAAACTTAATTTCCATTGCTACTACGATATCACCTAAAAAAAGGGTAATATTTTATACTTTTTGCAATTTTTAACAATGTGATAAAAGTGAGGGGACTAGTGGGATAATATACGCCTGATAATTCGCAGGTAGTGCCTTAAAATTTTCAATATTTTTCTCACGCGAAATGCAATTTTCCGACCATGCTCTTGTAAATTAGATTCTAGGTTGTGCACTTGTCGGACGTTGTAATAAGAAGTAGTAATAAGATGTTTATAGCCTTCTAAAAAAATTAGCAAATTGTAAGTTGAGTCTATCTATGCCATATATCCTTGACAAATATTTTGGCATTTAATCCATTTTCTTTACAATATTCATCAAAAGCTTGTTATCTATTAGGAGATATCATAATAGCGATTAGAGCTCTAAATTTTGTCTAACTCACTTTCAATGAATTTTAACTCATATTGCACAATTAAATTAAAAATATGACAAAAATAACGAATATGAAATAGAATACCACCAAAATGGGGGTTAAGGTGTCGATCTAATTTATCAATTACTGCTTTGTTGATCGTTACATTATCAAGTGTAAATTACAAATTTTATTCTCACGGTAAGATTATTTAACACTGCCCGTTGAAATTTTAAAAATATTAGAAGCATTATGAGGAAATTTAATTAATTTTAAAGCAATAATTTTCTATGCATTATCCACATTTTATCTAAATAGTGAGTAGTGGTAGTTATGTAACTTTTTTTGTTAATAACCCTACGGGTCAGACACAAAAGAAAAGATATAACTATATTTATTTAAATAGTTTATTATTCAATTTTTTATATAATATAAAGTAGTAGCATCCGAATGAAGAGTATTTCTAAAAAAATTTATTTACTTGAGTTGGAGATATTGCCTTACAAACTTGGTGAAGTGTTTGCTCTCCACTATTATAAGTGGATACTCACCACTAGTTAAGAATCATGCATTCATGAGGTAATAGACCCAGCTGATAAATGCGAGCTAGAAGTTGTAAAGTCAGGGTAACCAAATTGGAGTTGAGACCAGGGGTGAAGCCAGCCCTTCAAACTAGGGGGGTCCCAGAGTTGAGGGGCTGCCCCCGAAATTTTTTTTTGAAACATTATCTGTTAAAATGAGGAAAGTTGGTACTTTATGATGGAGAAATGAACATAAATTAATGTACGAAAATTTCACAAAAAAATCAAGAAACATATAAAAGAAACTACTAATCTTTTGAAATACTTCTCCATCACTGAGCCTGAGAATTGAGGAAACTCTTTCACTCATAATTGATAAACAATACAACTTCCCAAACAATTGAATGGTCTGGATTAGGAGATTAAAAAAAATTTGAGGCCAAAAAATAATAAATAAATAAATAAAAATTTTCAAAAAATTGGGGGGGGGGGGGGGGG